ATAATATATAAATGATCAACAATAAGAAAAAAATGTTTAACTGTTACAAAAACTAGAAGGAAACAGAGGCAACATGAACAGGGTGACTCATCCATGCACCAAGACCTGCCAAGACAAAACCACAGACTTAGTTTTCTCTGCCTTCCTGTTTGCATTGTTCATTATGTGTACCCACATGTTCCACAAACCTCCATGCATTTGCCTCTTTTAGTTAGACAGTTTCTGACAGCAGTTTGAAAGTGAGCCCGTTTTGAGATATGCCCTGATTCATAACCTAAAAAGTTATGGATGACAGCTCATTTTATTGAAAGAAATAGGGTTTTAATCTTACTCTTTTAACCTCATCCTTGTAATCACCCATACTGTCTTACTTTAAGTTTCTATGCCTTACGCAAAATAATGTTTACAGGTAAAAAATGAACAAACTGAAGAGGTATCCATCTTTCTAGTAGTATGCATGTCAGCAAGTTTCCTGTATCAGAATATAATTAAAAATCTTACTTCTAACCTACAAAGCTCTCAACAACCTAGCTCCATCTTATATTACATATCTTACTGTCCCATATTTTCCTAACAGAGCACTTCACTCTCAGACTGCAGGTTTACTTGTGGTTCCTAGATTTTCCAAAAGCAGATTGGGAGGCAGAGCTTTCAGTTATCAGGCTCCTCTCTTGTGGAACCAATGTCCAGTTTCTGTCTGTGAGGCTGACACATTGTCCAGTTTTAAGATTGGGATTAAGACTTTCCTTTTTGATAAATCCTTTAGTTAGGGTTGGCTTGGTTTCCTGATCTATCCCTTATCCTATGCTGCAATAGGCTTAGACTGCTGGAGGACAAATTGTCCTCATTTCATCAAAGGAATACCGTTAGTTACAAATGGATAGTTTGTAATTATATATTTTTTCTATCATAACATGTGTTTTTTGTTGTCCTTCCTCCAAGAGAGCGACCTGCTCGCCTCCATTCTGGACCTGCCATTCTGTGTCCGTTTTCCTTCCTGTCTTCTCAAACCCAGCTAGTAGAAGCAGATGGTCACTTGTCCTGAGCATGGTTCTGCTGGAGGTTTCTTCCTGTTATAAGGGAGTTTTTCCTTTCCACTGTTGCCTTTGTGCTTGCTCAGGATGGGAGACTGTGACAAAATGAAGACTCAGGGCCATCTGCTGGCTACCCCACCCTATCTAAGATAAATATTGTTACTAACTGATTTTTTTATGTATATGAACGTTCTTGTTCAGTGTCCTGAGATAACTTATGTTGTAACGTGGTGCTATATACATAAACTGAATTGAACTGACATCCTGATTCATGCTGAATTTAATTGCATTTATAAGATTGGGCTGTACCATAGTGGAAGAAAACATATAAACTCAGGAAGTGCTTGTTAATTTTAACGTTTTCCTGCATTTTTAAACATCAACTCAGACAAGTGAGATGCACAAAGTTGACTATAGACACAAGTAGTCAAGATGCTCAGTTAAATATATACAAAGTAATTCCATGGTGTATTAGGAGACCTATACAGTAAACTGTTTTCCTTTCACTTTACTTGAGTCTGGGTTTGTGAGAGTGGTTCTGTTTAAAACCTGCTTTGATTTTCTTTTCACAAGTTACAGTAAATGTCAAACAGGGCAGGTAGAATTAAGCCTTAAAGTGATCAGAGTAAAGTGGAAGTGGGCCAAGTTCTCTTCCATTATCAATTACAACAGAAAGTGGAGACATTCACTCTAGCTGATATAGCTTGATGCCTTATTCCATTAGCTTTTATTGGTCTTCAAGTTGAAAATCATTTAAGAGAGATAACATGCACTCATATACATTTTTTTTTTCAGCGTTGAAAAGGTATTAACCCATTTCCTGTTTTTGTTTTACTTTATCGCCCTGTCCACTGTTGAGATAAGACTGCGGGTAAATATTAGCATCATCAATCAACTAAAGTGGAAAAAGAAAAGATGAAAAACACCTTAAGGCAGAAATGACAAGCTTGCATTTATACATCACACATAACCATGACGGATTTGTCATAAAACCACCATCTAATTAAGAAAACTCAATTTGCTCCCTCCTGAGTCAGCAGTGGCCTTTAACCCCACGTCTCACCTTATCTGTGAGACATCCATCACCTGCTTTTGCAAGTATCCATAAAACTATTTACATGCAATCATCTGCAAGCTAAGTGCAAAACAGAAACATAGCTTCATGCAAAACACAAATGTGTGAATGTGTTTGTATAACAGGCAAAGTGAGACTTGGATGTGTTCTCAGATCATTTTCTATGTACGGATAGAAAGGGAACATCCAAATCTTGTGTGTGTATGTGTGTTTCTTGAACTTAGAAACAAAATAAATGTTCAAAAAGTTTTTTTGTTTTTTGCTCTAATGCAGTTTCTCTGCTCGTATTGCCTAGTTTGACATAGTTTTCAATAACTCCAGAAAACATGCAGCAATAGCAGGCTTAAAATTTGATTTGCAGTGTCCTTCAGGAATCATCTTTTTAATTTACTCTATCTTTGCTAGTTAAAAGAAAGAAGGAAAAAAAACAAACTCTTCTGCACTGAGCTGAAACTGTGCTGATTTTATTCAGCTGTGTGCAGTTGTCCAACTTATAAACTTGTATTGATTTGACGTGGAGGTCAATAAATGATTTAAGTGTTTGTATGGTAATGATAAATAGACTGTACTTATATAGCACCTTTCTATCTTATCAAGATACTCAAAGTGCTTTACATAACAGTCTGTGCCCTCATTTACCCATTCATAAGGCACTCTACTAGATCTATACATGAACTAATCAATACTTTAGATCATATTCATACACTGATGGGACACACATCAGAGGCAATGGGGGGTTCAGTGTCTTGCTCAGGGACATTTCAGCACTGTTGATGGAATCGAACCCCCAACTCAACTGCTCTAACTACTCAGCCACAGCCGCCCCCTGTATGGCAGATGGTAAAATAAAAATAAAAAAATCAGGGCAGCTGGTAGTCAGCTGGTGTATATATTAAGTGGTTCTAGCTACGCTGTCACGATAACAAATTTTGCTGGGTGATTAATTATCTCAGAAATTATTGTGATAAACGATAATATTGTTTGAAATTTAACAATTAATTGTCAAATTTTAGAAGAAATGTTTTGTTTTGAGTGTAGTACCTTTTTTGACCACCTGATGACAGCATAAGACTATTTGAACCAAAGGATGGATTGTTGAGCAGCTCGTCTCTTTAAGAAAAATGGGAAGGAGGGCCCTTGACATGGCATGGGCTGACATGGTGACATGGCGTACGCTCTGTGATTTGAGCTCTTTAGCATAGCATTTTTCACACAAAGCTTTAAATAAAAATCAGTAAACAAAATCTCAGCTTCTTTTTGCAGAGAAAAACAACTTTGTACACAAAGGCACGGGTTTAAACCGCAAATTTTGGATCTCGACAAGATGGAGGTTTATTCCCGAGGTCTGCCTGTTAGCCTAGCTCGTAGCTTAGCGTCTCAGCTTAGCTGCTTTTAACCGTCCAAAAACATGATTTTGGACGGTTAAAACAGATTTTAAAGAGAAAAGCGAAAGGGAGGGGTCAGTGAAGAGCACCGGAGTTGAGCCGTGTCTTCAGTAGAAAGAGAGAGACATGCATAAACGATAAAGTAGGTAAATGTAAATGAGGTTGATAATTTTCATTCATCATGCAAGTAATTGATTTATTGTTTATCTCGACAGGCCTAGTTGTAGCAGCTGTTACTGCAACTTCAGTTTCCTACTCAGTAATTGATTGAGTATGTACAGGCATCATCAAACTACATTATCTGGTTTGTTTGTTTTGAAAATGCTAACATTGGCCAACTGATTGGTCTATCTCTTATTTAAAGTAAAATAAAGTATTAAATCAACTGAAATAAGACAGACTGGTGATGTATTTGTTAAAAAGCAAAAGTTGTGTTATTGATATATTTAAAACACTCACAAATTTAAAGCCACCAAACTAAATAAGTAAACACCTGGATAAAAAAATAGAAGCCCAGAATGATACACCTGTTGTTTTTTTTTGTTTTTTTTTCTTGTGTTGTTTCTTTTTCACTGTGGGAGTTTTGGTTTGGTGGACTTCTCAGACTGAAGAAGTCCTTCAGATGAAGGATGAAACATCTCAGCAACAAAAGAAACCCTCCAGATGACCTGACTGAACATTGTTGGATTTAAACCAGGATTAATGAGCTAGAACTTTGGTGATACACCTGAAAGTTAAGGAATCTGAATTATTCTGTCAAACACCAACATTTGTTCTACTAACTGTAATTTTCTTCATTCCACATTATGTTCAGATTACATCTAATGTTCCATGTTGTTACAGGATCTGCTTCAAATGACAAAATATTGAAACATTCAAATCCAACCGTTATTTATACAGGTTAGTCTCATTGAGTCTTGAGGACTCATTTACAAGAGAGACCTGTTTTAAACAAAGAACACAGATGGCAGCAGTAGACAAGTATTAAAAAAAACATGTAAAATTAAAAGTAAATGGAATAAATTATATTAAAAAAAAACTGCTAAATTATAAAGCAATGTAAAATACTAAAAACAGGAACATGTCTGCATTGTTTTATGTTATGAGCTTAGTAGTTGTTTAAAATCCCTTATAGAGGTCAAGATCAAGAGCTTCAGATCTTTTTGCAAGGTGTTCCGAGTTACAGGAGCGGAGTAAGAGAAGGCCCTTTTGCCTAGTTCAGTCCGCACTGAGAGTACACTGCGAGTAATTATATCCTGAGAGTGCACGCTATAGCTGCACTCACGGAGTGACATATACGAGGAAATATATGAAGGCAACAGACCAAGAAGTGATTTAAAGATGAAACTGTACCAGTGGGAGAGTCTGCATGAAGTTAATGATGTCCAGTTAACCAGTGAATACAGGGTGCAGTGATGGGTACGGTAGTTACAGCCAGTTATGAATCTTAGCGCACCATGATAGACAGTGTCCAACATCAGCAGGGTGCTTGCAGGAGCATTCATGTAAATAATGTCACCGTAATCGATGGAAGAAAGGAAAGTTCCAAGGGGTTTAATCAACATCAGATTCAACATCAGATTAAAAGATGAAAATATAACATCCTCTCCTTAGCTGTATTTTATTCTATACTTGCTTTAAATTCTTCTGATTATTCATTAATTTAGTTTGCTGTTTATGACTGGCACAAGATTTTGTGCATACATGTTGCACTTATAGAGGAATAAAACATGTTTTTTGGGTGTCTTACAGCTAAGCCTCATATTTTTCTGTGTGAAAGACAGATATACATGTAAATGGAGAATCAGATCATCAAAATGGTAGCAGTATGATGGCAAACATTATCTCCATTCCCTATCCTCATTCCTTCACTTTGTGGATTAATGAAGCCTTAATAGCCCATGCCATTAAGCTTGGTGGTCACTGAGTAGACTGTATAGCCCCGAAGATTCAATCATAATCATATACTGTAAGCCATTTTGTAGATATAAACCAGTGAGTGGGTTTAAGATGGTGATAATATAAATGTGTTTTTTAGATCTATTCAGATTTAAAAAATTGTGATGGGATGTCGAGTGGAAAATTTAAGACATTTGTATATAGCTTCAGTTTGTCACCTTTTTAATCCATTTTCCATCAACAGCTACAAAAAAGCACTCTTGATCAGAGGTGGGCAACTAATTGTTCCAAAGGGCCAAATGAAGACATGGGATTTTTGGGAGAGAGCTGGACCAGCAGGCTAAAATCATGATCCACTTATGCTAAGAATGTAAACTTCTTTTCTACTTGTTTTTCTTTTTTTCTTTGAGAACCATTTTTATTTCTTCCCATGGATGGATGGATGGAGAGACAGATGGATGTGGACACCAGCTGCCAGATGATAGTGACAAAGGACATATATAT